TTTCTACAAAGTCCCTCCTTCCGACAAGCGCAGTCTGCTCTGATTGGCCAGCTGACCCAGTGCATTGTGATTGGCCGAACATCCCAAGCACGCATCGGAAATATAACGCCCCTTACCATAATGCGAGCGTCAGCTTTCAAAATAAATGTAAAGACAGAGCCCAAAGGGGAACAGAGTCTCGTGACAGACACAGTGATAAATATGTGTGTGCAGCACACAAGCCACGGTTAAGACAGCTGACTCCACTGTGATGTGTGTCGCTCTCTCTCTCTCTCTCTCTCCGCTCGCTCGCTCGCACACGCACACACACACGATGCGCAAAACTCCGCATTTGAACAGTAATAGCAAATACTTAAACTAATAATAAAACAGTAGCTGATTCAGAAGCGCCAGATTGTCATAGCAAAGTCAGAATTACCTCCTCTCCTAGGTTCACGAAACGGTCGTCCATAAAATGTATTGCTGTTCTGTTGTAAGTTATCTTAAAGATTTCTAAATGCATCTATTTTCGGAAGGCCAAATAAAGTGCTTTTGCTTTCGCCTGGAAACACACAGCGTCTCCCTGACATGGCTGCTTCAACACTAACTGCGGTTACTGAAACCACGCCTTCTTTCTTTGCGTGAACATTTGGGTGGCATTATGCAAATATTTCCACATAGTGAGGTAGACATGTGGGGGCGTGTTAGAACGAGCCGTTTTAGGGGGGCGTGGCAGAGTCTTGACTTTGATAAAGAATATCTCTTTGGTTTTGAGACTTTAGTCTTTGCAACTTCAGGGATCTTATCTATGCACAATCAGCTTGTAACACTCCAAAGAGACAGGAAAACTTGAAATCGCATCATATGACCCCTTTAAATAAAAAAACGATTTGTATCGAATGATACACGGATTCTACAGTAACTGTTAGTCTAAATGCATTTAGGACAAATATCATTTAAATTAGCATTACGCTACCATTTCTGCTTGGACATGTTACACATATCAAATCAATTTGTGTTATACATTTTCATTTTCATTTCGCAACTTATAAAGCATTAAAATTTGCATGCAATTTACATATTAAGACTACTGTTGAAAATGGCAAATGTAAATTTATATAATTTCATTTTACTTTTGCACCAAACTTTGCACGTATGGGTAATGGAAAATGTACATTTAAATACAGAAATACAATGCCATTTTGAATATTGCATTGCTATTTTGCATATTCCATTTTAAATTGAATTTTGCTACCTATATGCTTCCATAAAAATACGGCTTTTTGTCAATTCATTTTGTGAAAGAATTGCATTTCTTTATTTCTAAGTACTTGTTCGTAAAAGTAAAGTAGTATTAGAGGAACTGGAATTTCTTGCAATTTTCTACTGGTAAAATATCAAGCCGTCATGGATGACTTTTCGTCTCTTTCTTTCTCTTCAGGTGGGGCAGTACTTAGAGTGGTCAGTAGAGTTTTTGAAGATGATATCCAATCCTCACATTCAGTTGGGTAAGAGATATTTGGCATACAATGACCTAATGAAAGCTTATTTCTTCACAACAAAAGGAATTCCATGTGATAACTCTCTATCCTTCATCTATGCTCTTCTCTCAGGAGTCTCTGCTATGATGTGGCAGACCTTCATAGTCAAGCGGTTTTCGGCTGCTGCCTTCCTAATTGAAAAGGTTTGCATTTTTGTGTACTCTGGCTCTTAGTCTTTGTGTTGCATTTAAGATTCAATAATTTACTGACTGTGCATGTGTTGATATAGGTGGGAAAGGCACCTAAAGACCGGCTGTGCAGACGGGTAAGAGAAGTCACAAAGCGTAAATTAAATTCAGATCGGTTTCATTTAATTCATTAACGCATATATGTGTGTGTTTTTAGGATGTAGGAATGGGAGACGCAGCTGTGAGGAGTTTCCTGGGCTCTTGTGTGCAATTACTGCAGGCCCTCATGGAGGTCTCGTCTTCCTCTTTTCTCCCTTCCTTTCCTTTTTTCTCCAGAGTAAGGACTGATTAAACTGGATGCATGGGCGGAAGCATGTCTGAAGTTACTGTGGATTTTACAGTGATGAGCAATGCATGGGTTGAAATAAAAGCGAGACATATATTCTAAACTTGTTTTCTCTCTCAGGCGGATTCAGCGGTGGAGGAAGTGTCTGCTCCAGATGTGTGTGTGGAGGAAGTGTGGGGAGGTGCTGAGGGTCCAGTGTCTTTAGTGGAGTTAGCTCTGGATCAGAGGTCTGTTCACTATCCACTCGTGCAGCATCACTGTGTGTTAGCGTCACTGCTACATGCCACCATGACCTTCTCTCTGCGTCTGAAACCGCTCAGCCTGTTCGACAGCAAGGTAAAAGCACACAATTATGCGTTTATACACGCACACGGTGAAGTGATTGATTAGCCATGGTGCTTTAACCAAAAACATGAACTTCCCCTCCCCAAATTTGCAACATCATCTCTTCTCTGATGACATGTGCAACCTGTCACTCATATGAGATCACAGCACTTAAACAACAATGATCTGTTCAATTCCTGATGAACAAAATCAAGTTCATCCCTACATTTTTTCCACATTCAAGAAGCCATTTCACTCAAAATTCATTGAAATTTCTGTTTTATGCCAACTTATTCTTGTTGTCCTTTTCTATTGCCTACAGGGTAAGAATGCGTTTTTCAGAGATTTGTCATCCATTCAGTTGCTGCCCAGTGGAGATATGGACCCCACCCTGGTGGCTGTGAGACAAGAGGTAAGTCACAGCGCCACTCTCAGCACTGGAGGAAGAACTGCAGCCATCAAGAACACCTCCATGCAAAATGGATTTATTTTATACAAAATATTTATTTTATAGTCACATGCATCTTATACAGTGACAGTGAAATCTAGACCAAAAGGCTCTTAAATAACAGATCATAAGATGTTTATAGCTTGCCTCTGATCCAATGTTGATTTATTACCGTCTTGTGTGTGTGTGTAGTTTCTGATGAACGTGTTAACAGGCTGGGTGAAGGTTCTAGCTGAATCGGAGGAGAACGGTGTCAAACACAGCAGCGCTGAAGACATGTGGCCGGCTGTGTGTATGGAGCTCTCGTCTCTACTACAGGTCAATACTGACATCCTGCGCAGACACCTCGTCTGTGAGCTCTACAACCAGGGCCTGGACCTGCGGGCAGAGGAGGTAACACACACGCACGGTTAAACCTCCTAAGCATATAAACAAGAATGAAATATAGAGATTCTAATGAGTATTCTTTTTGCTTTTTTTATCCTTTCTTTTGGATTTTAGTTTTTTGTTGTTCTCTTTTTATTTAATTTCTTAATGAAGAAAATGGTTTTTTTCTTTAATTTATCTTTTCTTTCTTGTTTTTAACATTCTCTTTTTATTATCTCTCAGGTGATGATGGAGGTGCAGGACAAGGATGTTTTGGGCTCTCAGCTGCTGATCTTGACTGGTCAGAGACTCTCCTTCTCTCTGCTCCATTCCCAGTCACAGACCAAACCCAACATGGAGCTGTTGGCCCGTTTGCCGCCCACACTCTGCACCTGGCTGAAGGCTATGGTGAGATCACACAGACTTCACAGTTCTCAAAACTCTTATCATCTTACACTCATCTGTGTCATTGTTTGTGTTGCTAGGACCCCAGTGAGCTGCGCTGTCCCTCAGTCCCTCTGTCTCAGAGCAGTCAACTGATCAACAAAGTCATCGAGATGCTCCCCGAAATCCATGCCCAGTACAGCCTTGCCCTCCACCTGCTGGAGGCCGTGGACTCTTTACATGAAGAGCCCTGATATAGAGAAATGCACAGGAGGAGAGAATGAGAATCATGGTTTTTTTTTTATATTCTAGACTTTAACATTTTCCCAGGATCCCTGAGACCTGGAAAACCACCCAATCAGCAGCCTAAATAAATGCAGCTTCGTCATCAGTAATCTGCTTAATTTAGCAGATTTGAATTTCTTTTTCACAACTGTCACTAAAATAACATATCAAGAGCAATAGCACATCTAGAGCATGTGCTATCCCACAATGCCTGTGCACACTGAACGCGTCACAAATAAAGGGCCTGGAGTCTCTAGTGTCTAGAGTATTATTAGGATAAAAACAATGTTATTGATGTACAGTAGTTCTGTAATTAAAGAAGATGTAAAGAAGGCGTTCTTTACAAAGAAGCTTTAAAATAATAGTGCTGTAATCAGTATAATCAAAACATTACTGTATATTAACACCATAGGGAGGGTCTCTTCTATTTGAAATTCTAGATGTTCTTGTTCATTTATTCTGACAATTAAACATGTCTGAAATGTCTCATTGATGCGGTTTAGTAGTAAACAAGCACTAAAATGTAATCTGTTTTTGTATGTTATTTTAAATGTGTAAGTTTAGGTGTGGTTGCAAGGTGAGACAAAAGAAAGATTTCACTTAAGTAGCGCTGACCTTTTATGCAGTCCTGTAACAGCTGTGCCTGGCTGCTCATATAATGCAACGTTAACCGTGATACCAAAAATAAAGACAATTTCAGAGAACTGTTGTGGAGCTCATTGTCCTCAAAATGAAATTGGAATATAGTCTCAGCTTTCAAGTTCTGCCCATTTCCTCATGATATCCAAATACATGCCATTTTGGCTTTAATGTGATGCGGCATGTCACGCACTGCAACCCTACCGTGCATATCTGGGTGAAAAATGCAAACAGATTGAGAAGCTCACTTGCTGTACGTGTGCCATGCCATCTCTTCTCTTTACTACTAGTTATATCAGGAATAAACATGAATGAACACATTGTGGTAGGCTATATAAGAAATTTATTAATGTTCATGTAATTAGTTACCTCAGGAAAGCCATTCAATGGCCGCTATAGCTCATTCGTCAGCAAGAAAAAAACAACTGCAGAGATGAGCTCATTTACTTAACCTGTTAGTAATTTATGTGTTTGAGTAAATCTGTCATTAAGAGGTTTTTATGAAGACTATTATATACATTTGGGAAAGTGGGAATAAATGAAGATTCACACTGAAATGTATATTCTCTTTCCTGTATGTACGTTGTTTATTGGTTTAGCAATCAAAGTGACGTCATAAAGCATCAATTTACAGGTAAACCGAGAAACTAAAACTGACAAACTCTCCTCTCACTGAGCCTCATTTATGAAACGAGCAGAATGAACGTGTAAATTTTGCAAAGCCTTTGTTAGATAAACGGCAACCTTCAACAATGTTGCAATTTAAGACTGATTTCACAACAGACTTCTGCTTTGGCTTCATGAATAAGTCACACTGACATTACAGTACATCTTCAGTTCAAAATATACCCCTTCATGACTTAATATACATAAAAATAAGATAGACCTGTTCAACCAAACCTCTCACCCACTGCAAAAACAAGCACATATGGACATATACAAAGGCCCTTTTCAGTGTACTGAATCAATTTGCTTAACCTGCAGCAGAGAACAGCGCTGTTTTTGTCCGAATCTGGTTTTTGTGGACATTTTTTGCCTCAGCTAAGAATCTACTGTTTGGTTTTTCCTTCCAAATTCCTGCTTTATTCGTTTATAACAGTTCATCTCCTGTTTGACCCCTGAGAAACACGACCCCCCTCTCCCACAGCTTCAGACAACCTTCTGCCCGTTACAATAGCAGCTTCACACTGGTCCATGTTAGCCCTTGCAGTCTTTTTCACCAGAGGAAGAGGAGGACGAGGAGGGCCAGTGGGTGGGCAGTAGTCATGGCAACAGTCGAGGTGATTACTTGGCGTTTTCCAGCACGGTTTGGCATCGTGGGCAGAGGCAGTCTGGCTCATCTGAGGTGTACTGTCGACATCTCGGACAGCGTGACAGAGAGGTGGGCATCGCAGCTACACTGTATGAACTCTCCTCACGAATCATGCCCCCTACACAACACACAGATGAGCATAAAATACACTTCTGTCTTTCAAAACTACCTGAACGAGTTACTTTAGTGTTACATAATATTTGTAAATGTTTTTCTTAATTGGGATTCTTGCTCTGTTTCCCAAGTAAAGATAAAGTTTAACTGCTTATAGTTAAAATAATGGCCTGTTACCAATCAGTGGTTCTCAATCTTTCTGACTTGAATTCTCAACAATCAAAATATTTAAAGCCTCCTGAATTCCTCCTGCATTCTGCTGTAATTATGACAATATATGGAAGTTTGTTGAGAACCACTGATCTAAACTAACTGCAAATTTACGGTATGTGTCTTGAACACAACAGCCTAGCAAGGACTTTTCATTTATATCCAAAGAAAAGCATCTTACCTTCCAGGTTGATGAGGAAGCTTCCTGTGCTTGTGACGGCATCCGATGGCAAATCTCGTGGGAGAGAGCTTGTCAAAGTCGTGCGTGAGGCCATCATGAGCTCTGTCAGTTGGGAGCAGGTGGAAGTGGGTTCCTCTTGAAGAGACTGACAGAGAGGGGTGGAAAATTTTTTTACAAATTGATGTAGTCGCAAGCAAATTAAGCACTAAATTGTATGTATTTAAAGACCTTTTCACACTTAAAAAAAAGTCACATGCCTTCAATGTCAATTTTTTTACGCAGAAGTACTGCACTACAAAGAAAACTGGCCAACAAATCAGATTTGTGTGTTTGTTCACATGCCCAGAGTCACTGCTGTTACATAAAACTATGACTTCATAGCATGTAAATGCAGTCTAACTTGCTTTTTTATGTGTGACAAACGAATGTCAGAAACAGAACGTTGCGTAGCTCTTTATGTACAGGGTTACCTGGATATTTTCTATAAGCGCTACCAATTGTTAGAGATTGAATTTACATGTCCATCTTCCATTTTTTATGCACTTGTCTAAACAGACACATCACAAATAAGCCTGTGACATTTGTGCTGGTGTGAACAGGCCTTAAAACACTATGATGTACCTCAATGAGCTCAAAGAACAGGCCGGGCTCAATGACAATGATGAGTTCATACTCGGCAGCATTACATCCCGGAATAGATGACAGGAAGGAATCTCTGATAGCACACGCACCCTCCACTGCTTCCTCCAGTCCTGGCCTCCGCCACACAGAACTGGTCTTAATCCAGCCGCTACGAAACAAAGTGTCCCCCTCTACAGATGAAGAGAGAGGTGAGAAGTGTTACAGTCTGTAGACATACAGCTTCGGTTGTACAGAAATCGAGTGTGTACCATCATGTCCAGGAGCGTGCAGGTACACCTCCTCAGCGAGATGAGGGAGCACAGGAGCGATAGAACGGCTCACTCCATCCAGAATCTCTTCTAGAACCGTCTGACATGACCTCCGACCAAGGGAGTCCTCAGGGTCACAATACAGCCTGAGAGAGAAAATGAGAGAGTGACTTTTTGCTACAGAACAGGATTTTAGTTACAAAATTGAATGCGTGGTTACCGATCTTTAATGATGCTGAAATAGAAGTTGGATAAATCTCTAGTGATGAAGGATTGCAGCAGACGGATGACACGGCCATTGTCAAATGCACTGTAAGCATCCGTTACCTACAGCACACACAAACACATGAGCGACTGCAGAGTAGAGATGGTTTATGTTCGGTTAACACTGAGACTCACCTTCATGCTGAACTCTCTGAGCACGTGCAGCATGTACTGATCTACGTAGTGCATTTGTTTAGGGTCCACGGCCTGGGAACGAGGATCAAAACCCTGGAGATTCCCCAAGAGAAACCTCAGTGTGTTCCTCAGCTGGAGACAGAAGATCAGTTGAAAGAGAGGCCATCAGCACATAAACATTTAGATTTATACTACCGTTCAAAAGTTTGGGGTAGGTAAGTCAAGTTGTTTGATCAAAACACAGTAAAACCATAATATTATGAATCATTACAATTTAAAATAACTCCTTACTATGTGAATGTATTTTAAAAGAGCATTTATTCCTACGATGGCAAAGTTGAATTTTCAGCAGCCATTACTCCAGTCTTCAGTCACATGATCTTTCAAAAATTATTCTAATGCTGATTTGATGCATTTTGAAATATTACTTCTTATTATCAGTGTTTAAAAAAAGTTGTGCTGTTTAATATTTTTTGTGCAAACTGTGACATTTTTATTTAAAGGCACAATATGTAAGATTTTTTTATTAAAATATCCAAAAACCACTAAAACAGTGTTATATATTTTGCTGACTTGTGTACTTACATTATCCCAAATGTTTCAAAGAATGTTTAAATCCAGAGAAATAAGCATTTTTAACTAGTGACACGGAGCGTGTCTATAGTGTCATTGTGTCGCCTGCCAATGACTTCATAACCCCTCGATTTCCGAAACACCAATGACACTTTAATATGCTGTGCGTTTTATTAGACAGGTGATGACCGCACAGAGCAGCATTATAACAGAACTTTCAGCCGTATCTAGTATGATAAAAAAGCGCTGCTTTACCCCACATACGCACAACCGGAAGGAGCGGAAGCGCTAAAGTGTGGCATAATAAAAGCTCCGCTGCTTTGGAGCCATGTGTCACTGTCATCTCTCATTAGCAATTGCTTCAGCGGCCTTATTTCGCTTCGACGGCTTTCCGCCTCACTCTGCTTCATACTACGATGTTAATAAATCTTTAATACATTAGCTCATTCATGAACATAAGTCCCGTCGGATTACATCGGCTGTGGGGATGAAAACGACAACTCCCATGATTCCACACTCAGTCACGGCGTCATCAAACTACGCCTTTGTTTCTTTTGTTTGTTTTGAATATGCGCCCTCTAGCGGTGAAAACTTACATATTGTACCTTTAAGGATTCTTTGAAGAATAGAAAGTTCAAAAGAATAGCATTTATTTCAAATATAAATCTTTTGCAACACTTTTTTTTGGATCTATTGCACCCTTGCTAAATAAAAGTATTAATTAAAAAAATTATTTCTGACCCCAACATTTGAAAGCTAGTGTAAAAATCGTGAAAAAAATTGTGTAAAAAAAATAGAACTGATTGGCAGCAAACTAATGCATTAGTTTATAAGCCAGACCTTGTTGATGCTGTCTTTAGCAGCGTTTAGTGTGTTCGGCCCGATCTGAACCTCAGAGAACACATTCGACTCTGCAACCCACCATCTCAAAACATCAGCACCATATGGAGGGGAGACAGACAAGTCCTGGGAGAGAGAGACTGATGTTTGAAAACACTGACTGACTGAAATCATTTGATTCTATAATTGGTTGATCATATCTTACCTTCCCTCCATTAATAACAACATCTGGGTCGATCACGTTGCCTACGGACTTAGACATTTTTTCTCCTTTCTCACTCACGGCAAATCCATGGACCACTAGAGCTCTGAAACACACACCGAAGGTCACCAATGTTTTTTGACGAGTATTTTCATTTGCATATACACATGCATTTGTATGACTCACTTGTAAGGGGCTTTATTCCGTACAGCTACACTGGTGAGCAGAGACGACTGAAACCAACCGCCGACCTGATCTTTCCCTTCAACGTATGAGTCTGCACGCGGATCTGATTCTGAAAGAGAGAGAGAGGCAGTAAGATTACACTACAACACAACAAAGCATATGAAAGGACCCCAGACAAGCAAACTAAATACTTTTGGAACTAGACACACACCGAATACACGTAAACAATTAAGCACCACTTTGACTACTCACCTGGTAGCACAGCGGCCCATGAGGTCCCGCTATCAAACCAGATATCCAGGACATCTTCACCCCGCACATAATCAGATACTGCACCTGCTTTACTCTGACAAACAATTTATAACAGATACTGAATGTTTTTTGAGCATCAGTTAGAATGATTTCTGAACGATCATGTGTCGTATGAGACTTCTTTAAAAAAATATATAGTTTTCAAAATTCTACCGGATGTATATGAAAATGTACCTTCTGAAGAACCTCTGGAGTCAGAAACTTCTCCACTGGCTCCGTCCACCAGCTGTCACTCCCCTTCTCAGAGAAAACCTTAGCAATGTTTGTCACTGAATGTCTGAAAGAGAAAGGGGGAATTGAACTTATGGTTTAAGAAGTCTTATATGCGTTTGATTGTGTCTATGACGGTGTAAGTATATACTTGTTTAAGAGTGGCTCTCCAGTCTCTTTATGGTAGAACACTGGAATGGGGACGCCCCAGCTCCTCTGCCGAGATATACACCAGTATGTTCTTCTGTCCAACATTGCCAACAAACTAGACCTCGCCGATTCAGGTATCACACGCACCTTCTGCAGAGCATCCTATAAAAACACAACCAAAGTGTATTTTCTGCAGATAAGCACTTATATATAGCTTGAAACATATTAGAAATCTGTTACATTTCTAATAATTTTGTATGAGTCACTAAAAAAAAAACATGTTCAGATCACTCAAAAAAAAAAGTCAATATGTATAAAATCTTTTCTAAAACAGGCTTCATTTACTTGAAGCAGGATATAAAAATAAAAATGTATATATACACACACACACAGTACAATAAATATACAACACATTTTTGCAATTTTAAATATATTATTCACATTACAGTAATGACAATGAGATTTTTTTCAGCATTATGAGAAAATTACATTTTCATGTTAAAAATGTAAATGATGCAAAAAATCTTAACAGTCCTAAAAACTGTTTATATTTGCTTAAAATGTAAATACATAAATAAAAATTTGGGGGTGAAATATGACCCATGTATATGTTGTTAACAGGTTGCTATTCTATTCAGGAGGCCATATGCTCACCTTAGCTTTGTCTTTGAGGCTGGCTGTGTTAATAAACCATTGTTTACTGGCTCTGATCACGACTGGCTGTTTGGTCCTCCAGTCATACGGGTAGCTGTGGACACAGTCCTCCTCCTTCACAATGGCACCCACTGCCTGCAGCATTGAGATTACTGCCCACACACACAAAACATTAGTTATGATTACAAGAATGCATATTCTTGTATCATTTCGTATGGTCCAATTTGGTTCTATTTTTCTTGTAACAACATTTTCTCTTTCCTCCATCAATCTGGCTCTCGCACCTGTGGCATTGCCTTCAGTCATCACAGATTTCTTCTGCAGTTCAGGCCCAGCCAGTTCTGTAAACCTGCCCTCCTCATCCACTATGCACTCCTAGAGAAAGAAAGACTTAAATTAAAAGTCACGACAACAACCCAATATTTTTATGTTTTCAGCATATACAGATGTGGGTGACATACTACTGGCAGATTAAAGTGTGTAGCAACACCGTAGTCCTCCATGCCGTGGGCAGGAGCTGTGTGGACCAATCCCGTTCCCTTAGTCATGGTCACATGATTAGCCGGCAACAAAGACACTTGTTTTGCAGGAATTGTGGGATGCTGACAGACTCCACCTTCGAGGTCTGACCCTGGAGATGAGTGAAAGAGAAACAGAGAGATGCTTAGGTTAGTTTAAAAGGCATCATATGAAGTGATTCAGGCCAAAATCAAACACTGGATCTACCTGCGAATGTGGCCAAACTTTCCAGATTTGTCTTCAGCATAGAGGCGAGGCTGTTGATGCGCTCTGAGGCCACTAGGAGGAGCTGCTCATTATCAGCTCGCTTCACTACAGAGTACCTGAAGAAGAGGAAAGACATGCGATCATGAACGTCTTCATCAAATCATATCATGTGCATTCCACTCACAGATGCACAGGTGTGTGACTTACTGTACGTTGGGCATGTAACAAACCGCTTGATTGGCTGGAATAGTCCATGGCTGAGTCGTCCATATCAGAGCAGACACATGACCCCAACTTTCTAAAGCATGGACAAAAATACTGGCATCAGAAACAGCAAAATAATTATGTGGCCTGTATAAAGAGTGTGTGGCACCGGGACTGACGGCATACACAGACCTGCTTTGGCAGCGAGTTTGGCTGGCAGGGTGAGCAGGGGGAAAGTGATGTACAGAGCACGGCTCACATGTTCTGGATTATACTCCAGCTCAGCTTCTGCAAGCGCCGTCCTTCACAGAGACAGAGAATATAGCAGAAATCTGTACAACATCTAAATCCTCAAATTCAAAGCTTCCTGTCTGTTATGCTTTATTAAAGGCTTTATGTGAGACTGCAAACACTGAGCTTCTCTCACCTGGATGATGGTGACCAGAAAACAGGCTTATAGTCCTGATAAATTAAACCCTGTACACAAAGATAGAAAAAGAGGGGTAAAGTGAGAAACTTTCAGTGATATGAGGGTGCATACACTACTACTTTAAAATTTGGGGTCAGCGATTTTTGGTAATACTTTAGTACAGGGAGCAATTCTCACTATTAATTAGTTGCTTTTTAGCATGCCTATTATTAATATATTGGCTGTTTATTAGTACTTATAAAGCACATATTCTGCATGACCTTATTTTACATCTCTAATCCTACCCAATACCTAAACTTAACAACTACCTTACTAACTATTAATAAGCAGCCAGTTAGGCGTTTGAGGCAAAAGTCATAGTTAATCATTTGTTAATAGCAAAAATTGGACCTTAAAATAAAGTTTTTAAAGCTTTTAAAATAAGTTAAAATAAAATTTGACCCAATATTTTTTAAAGACATTAATTCTTTTTTTCAGCAAGGACGCATTAAATTAATCAAAAGTCATATTAAAAGACATCTGTAATGTTAGATAATATTTCTATTTCAAACAGAAATATTTTAATTTATTCAAAGAATACTGACAAAAAGTATCACAGCTTCGACAAAACCAAAGTAGCACAGCTGTTTCCAACAAATCATTGTATGATATCTGAAGGATCATGTGACACTGAAGACTGTCCTAATGGAATATATATTACAAAACGGATAGTTCCGGTCCTGGATTCTGATTGGCTGAGCCACGTTCAAAGCTGTTGTAAATTACTAAACAAATAATTTTGTTTACATTTGTCTGTTGCTTGGCAACCACTTTGTTGCAACCACAACTGATTCTGAGGAACTCCGCTTCGTGCCTAACAACGCCCCTTAGCTGTTATAAATTCACTGTAAACCATGGCTTCTTGGGGCTTATTGCTTTATTTTAAAACATATTCAAATATTTAATTAAACTGTAAAAATAAAACTACATTTTAAATTGTAATAATATTTCACAATACTTTCTGTATTTTCAATCAAATCAATTTGATTACATTTTTTCCTCTAAACTTTTACAGTAGTGTAGACAGTAGTGTATATCATTGCAGAATATTAATTTATCGGCAAACTCCTCTTTAAATACTCACATATGGAATGAAATCAAACATGTCAAGCTGTGTTGTACAGGAAAAACTTCTCCCACCTTGTTATGCATCTCTTGGAAGACTTTCAGTTGGGCCGCCTCATATTTCCCATCAAAGGTGTAATAACAATTCTCCCAATGTGCCATCACACCCCAGCGCTGGAATGCAGCACGCTGCCGGGATATGGCCCTCTCTGCAAACTCCCGCGCTGAATGGAGAGACACACAGGCAGTGTTTGATTCACCAGAAGAAACATATCTAAGCAACATTACTTAACTGACAGGTTATTTCAAGCTTCATAAGATCTACTGTAGACAACTGATTTATTTGACCAGAGCATTCATTATATGTGACCTCCTGACCTTTCTGTCTGATTTGTAGAGGAGTCAGCTCATTGGTTCCCAGGTCTCCAAGTGCTTTGAGCTCAATGGGCAGCCCATGGCAGTCCCAACCGGGCACATAGTGCACCTGTCTGCCTCTCAGCACCTCAAAACGGTTCCGGATGTCTTTGAGGATCTGCAGGAGAGATCCAATGAAGAGGTCGATTGCAGATTATGGAGTTCATGTGAGTATATTTCCACTCCTGTAGGTTTAGGTATATAACTGTATGATAAGATGTCTTTGAAGCAAAAATAAAGGATGTGGATCCAGGAACATCTACTTGAGTCAAGGCTGTACCCACCAGACCTCTGTATTTTTTCTGAGGTGTAATAATTTCCTAATAATAACTGTACTTAAATGCTGCAAAGATATTGTGTAATGTGTACTGTACACATAAGTAGATCAAAAGATTCAAACATTTTCAGATGGCCCCCGAACCTCCCAAACAAGCTCAGCTTTTGGACCTAGGTATTTCTAATTCCCTGCATATGGCCATGGCTTGTGTGTATATGATCAGACAGAATGTACCTTATTGAGAGCGTGCCCAACATGCGGGTCCCCATTGGCATACGGTGGTCCATCATGAAGGCAGTACTCCTTTTTAGCTTTTTTCTCTCTCTGCCATGTGTACAGCTGATCAAAACCACATTTCTGTAGAACAACACAGAAAAGTTCAAACTCCAACAAAAGACAACCTCGTCCGTGATCTCAAACTGTGTGGCTGTTATAGAAGTGTTGCAGTATAAGATCATCTTAATCATTCACTATGATTTATGAAGTAACAGAACAGAATCACTTAGATCAGATCCTTCAGTAACGACAAGCTTTTGTATCTGGATCTGTCACTTGTACCTGCTGGATCTGGATCTCTCGCTCCAGTAGGTTCGGCCCGTTCACTCTCATGGGGAAGTCAGTGCGGGGCAGCAGCACAGTGTCCCGGTACCGGCCCGCTGCGTCTCCGGAGCACAGACAGCGCAGTCCCCATCGAGCCACACCGCCGAACCCTACCGCCGAACGCCGAACCAGCAGCATGAGGGACTCTGACAGGAGAGTTTGCGACTAGAATGAGAGTTTGTTGTGGGATGTGACCTCCTCCTCCGCATGGGCGGCACTCTGTGTCAACCGGAACCATAGAAGCAACGCACATCTACGGGAGCTGAGAAGAAACAAACTCTCCACATAAACAAAAACGCTTTTTTCATGATGTGAATGGGGATTTGAAACGCAAGAGGGCGCTGTGGGGTCACTAATAACGACTTCGAAGGCAGGTTTAGAAAAAAAGATTTTTTTAAAATCTTTAAAATGCTTAGTTTTATTAACAAAGCTTTTCGTTTTAATTGTGGGGGCTAAGCATGTAATGTAATATAAAGAGGATTGAAAGATGTACAAATAAACGTTCCCCAAAAGCCTGTTGTATCATATTTGATACATACATTTTAAATACGTTTCTTCAGTCCAATAAATAAAATTTAAAAACAATATAAAAAGGTGTTGTTGTTTTTTTCAGTACCTTGTCGATGTAGCCTACTTTGCGATGCCTTAACGGAAAGCGGTCGTACAGTATACTGTACTGATGTTATGGTTAAGACTAACTTTAGCACAGAACTTAATATATTATTTCACTAAGATATAGCAAGAAAACCTGTAATAGCAGTTGAAAACATGAACAGTTTATCATTACCCTCATACCTCCTCGGTGGGCGGGTGTTTTTGACGTCACTTTGGGATTAAAAGGCCCAGGACTGCCCCATCATTGAGCACTGACCCTTGGGCCAGCAGGAAACTTCCCTGGAAGAACACAACACAGGCATAAACATGAATCAAATCTGGATTCTGTGTTTTGCGGTGCTGATCATCACCATACCATTTTCAACTCAGGTAGGCACTATGCTTTTGTCATTTATAGCACTTATTTGTTGTGTTCATGTTTTAAATAGTAAGTACAATTAATAACATATGGTAGCAAAGTGTATCTACATGTAGATCCAGTATTATGAAATCACTCTCTAACATGGACACAGTAAAATGTGAGCACTTTTTCTGACTTTTCTTTGCCTTCTTGTTTGGTGTAGAATAGCGATGCTCAGAAGTCAGAAGGCAGTAGCTCAGCATCCTCTAGTACCTCCACAAATTCCAGCGCTGTAGGATTGGGTCCTGTGCCCACCACACTGTACCTGCTGATTCCTGCAGCCACCCTGGGCTTCATCCACTGTAGATCCTAGTGATGGATGGAGAGCGTTCGCCATAGATGACCAAGACAGAGACAGTGGCGAAATGGACAGCCATTCACCCAAAGAGCAAACTTTTCCACAAATCTTGAAGACAGAAGATGCCGCAGCTCACATTTTTGTAATGGAATTTAAGTAATGAAAATGAATAAAGTTTGGAGAATTTCTCCAAAAGGGATTTGTTTGGTTACACCTGTTTTAGAGCGCTTGAAAGACACCTGCAACTCAGGGTCCTGCTACAGAGCTCTTTGTCGCGTTTTGCTCCAAAGTCACTGTTTCAGCTCACCTATGGCAAATTCTCTTGGAAGAGTTTGATTCTCCTATGCTCAGTATATGATTGAGATTAAGCCGGTTTTAAAAAACTCCATTACTTAAATCAGTAATCACATTTCAATTTTAGCCCAATTTCCATTTCTGTAATGACATTATGGGTACTACAAATGTATAACTTTACTATAAATGTGATCAATGTACTACATCTCAGAATGTGTCTGTATGCACAATTAAAATAGATGATTGTATGTTTGTGCCATTTTTTCATTCAAATCAGTATTAATGTTTTCTCCTAAGATATATAATCAGAGTTTCATAATAGTTTTTCCCCATGTGTTTTATTCAAGAATTAGATGAGTACAAATACACTTAGAATAATCAGGATTCTCCATGTTTTCTCATGCCAACAACAAAGTAAACAAAGCAAAAGAGAGTTTTGTAATAGTTTTAGTAAGGTAATAGGACGTAGAGTAGAAAATGCAGGTATCCTAGATTGAAATTTATTAGAGAATTTAGTGTATTTGACATTTTAAAAACTGCTTTAAGACATGAAGGCACTGTACTGATAGAGGATGTGATCCTCCTCTTAAACCAATGAGCAGGTGTTTAAACACGTCACACATCAGTCACTGTGAGAATAAAACTCCCCTCCCGCATCACTGAGCACAGACTCTCTGCCTCACAGAAAACATCTCTTGAAGAAAAAGAAGAAAAAGGCATAATCATGAATAAAATACTGGCATTGTGCATCGGGTTACTGATTATAACCTTACCTTTTTCATCTCAGGAGGTAGGCACTGTGATTTATTTCACTCTTGCCTTACGAATTTTTGGTTTTGCAGAATTTCCTATCTTTCTTATTTATTCTTTGATCATTTTTGTTCATTCATATTTAATCAAATTTGGTACATTTGTTAATTATTAGTTGCGTGTACATGCAAAATGTTGATTATACAAGAAAGGTGTGTCATCAGTTCTCTTTATACCATGTAGAAGCATGGTGGATTTTGTCTTCTCTACTTGATAGAGTCTAAGTTAATTATAATATAATTATAATTACAATATGTAAACATAATTTATTTAAATAGTAATAATACCAACAAAGAGCATTTTAAAGCAGCTTCTCAAAATAAACTTTAAATTGACATATACTGTTTAAAAAAAAAAGCGGGTAACCTAAAGTGGGCGTTTTGTGGTAACATCAAAATTAACTGGCTCTAATTAAATTAGAGCCAATTCATTTTTATGTTACCCCAGAACGCCCACTTTAGGTTACCCGCTTTTTCTCTTTTTTTTTAGATAGATAGATAGATATGGCTGTATCAGCCTGACTAAACTTGGTTACAGCAGAAAAAGTCATTTATAACAGTCCGATCAGGCAGAAATTAATCGGCAGCCAACTGCACTTTTCTACTTTTAAAAGTGCACATAATACAGTAATATAAAATAATCTTCTTATTTATTCTGACTTTTTTTCATGTTGGTGTAGGACAAAACTTCAGACAAACCATCTATCCCCAACATCAAAATTAACTGGCTCTAATTAAATTAGAGCCAATTCATTTTTATGTTACCCCAGAACGCCCACTTTAGGTTACCCGCTTTTTCTCTTTTTTTTTAGATAGATAGATAGATAGATAGATAGATAGATAGATAGATAGATATGGCTGTATCAGCCTGACTAAACTTGGTTACAGCAGAAAAAGTCATTTATAACAGTCCGATCAGGCAGAAATTAATCGGCAGCCAACTGTACTTTTCTACTTTTAAAAGTGCACATAATACAGTAATATAAAATAATCTTCTTATTTATTCTGACTTTTTTTCATGTTGGTGTAGGACAAAACTTCAGATAAACCATCTATCCCCACTTCAGCTGCTGCACCTAAAAATCCTGTGGCCAGTGCTGCAGGATTGGGTCCGCTGCCCACCACGCTGTGCCTTCTGATCCCAGCAGCCACCCTGGGCTTCATCCACAGTAGATCCTAAACTGGCAGGATGACCAAGAGGAGCAACGATAGATAGCCAGTCACATGAAGACCAAAGTTTTCCAAAATTCTTGACGATAGAAGACACAAGAACATCAAAATTAACTGGCTCTAATTAAATTAGAGCCAATTCATTTTTATGTTACCCCAGAACGCCCACTTTAGGTTACCCGCTTTTTCTCTTTTTTTTTAGATAGATAGATAGATAGATAGATAGATAGATAGATAGATAGATATGGCTGTATCAGCCTGACTAAACTTGGTTACAGCAGAAAAAGTCATTTATAACAGTCCGATCAGGCAGAAATTAATCGGCAGCCAACTGTACTTTTCTACTTTTAAAAGTGCACATAATACAGTAATATAAAATAATCTTCTTATTTATTCTGACTTTTTTTCATGTTGGTGTAGGACAAAACTTCAGATAAACCATCTATCCCCACTTCAGCTGCTGCACCTAAAAATCCTGTGGCCAGTGCTGCAGGATTGGGTCCGCTGCCCACCACGCTGTGCCTTCTGATCCCAGCAGCCACCCTGGGCTTCATCCACAGTAGATCCTAAACTGGCAGGATGACCAAGAGGAGCTACGATAGATAGCCAGTCACATGAAGACCAAAGTTTTCCAAAATTCTTGACGATAGAAGACACAAGAACAACTCAAGAAGAAGATGCCACAACAAATCACATTTTTTTTTTCCCAGCAGCCACCCTGGGCTTCATCCACAGTAGATCCTAAACTGGCAGGATGACCAAGAGGAGCAACGATAGATAGCCAGTCACATGAAGACCAAAGTTTTCCAAAATTCTTGACGATAGAAGACACAAGAACAACTCAAGAAGAAGATGCCACAACAAATCACATTTTTTTTTAATAATAATAAAAACTGGGATTTAAAGGAAAATTTCCACTGTATACTGTACCGAGGGTCCTCCAAACCCCAACAAAACCACACCATCAGTGTTTTAGCCCTGCTTTAAATTGGATTCATCAGTTGCAACATCTTGTAAAAGACTGTATGAATCTGATCACTGTAATCCACCTTCTCCAAAATATTTTTGTACTAACTGTGATGAACTATTAATTGCAATGATTAAGAATGTGTCTATATGTACAATTAAAGTGGATGATTGTATATGATTGTGTGTGTCTATTTATCCAAATTCAAAGTAGCGTGTTATTTTTAAACATGCTATAATCAGACTTTAATTTATGCGTTTAGATTATAATATTACACAAGATTGACATTTTATAATTAATCTTACATTGTCAATACAATTAGTGTGATCTTGTCTTTGAAACGATCTGTTTGGCGCACCTGTGTTTAGAGGAAGGAAGGCGTATGTGTGCAATCTTTTAGTTTTAACAACCGAACAAGCAGGTTACAAATATCTGTCAACCACAGCAGAATAAAAGAAAATGTGCTGTCACAACATCCAGCTAGTTCAATTAAAACACTCGAACACAGTTAAGCACCACACAGGACAATAAAGAGTTACTCAGACAGACCACCACTCAGATCAGAATCGGTTTGATTGCTCAGGATTCGATTGATTTGACATTAAAGGACCAAAAATGCTCACATGACAAAAGCTGCCATTTTCCTGGCAATGATTCAATGATTTCAGCAGCTTTGCCCACATCCTCCTACTCTGGAACAGATGTTTCCTTTTCAACAATTTCTGTCTTCATCACTGTCTCTCTTTTGTATACTCACTTCAGTCACACTTCGTTCTCTCTATCCAGATTGAAACATTGTTATTTCAAACTATACTCTTCCATTTTATTGAATTACATTTCTTTAAGCTCAGTTAACAGCTGGCCTACAAACTTATTTTAAACAAGAGTTCCTGTAACTGTGATTATTTGTGAAAGAAACGGTAAGTAAACACCTTCAGCAAACTGAAGTAGAAAGACTGAAATAGTATTTTCTCAAAAAAATGTTTTCCATCTTTTTTTTTTTCTTTTGTACTACTTCAAAAAAAAAGGTTACCTTAAACAGTGGTTAGGGTCAGTTTTGAGATGCTGATGTCTTTCTTCAATGGATGTAAAACCACATTAGAGTGGTATACTGCAGGGGTATACCCCCTCCCACACACACACACTTTTAATATCATGTAAATTCATCCCCCGAGGCTCTGCAAGGAGGAATGGCAGAGGATTCCCAAATCCAGGTGTGAAAAACTTGTTGCCTCTTTCCCAAAAAGACTCATGGCTGTATTAGATCAAAAGGGTGCTTCTACTAAATACTGAGCAAAGGGTCTGAATATTTAGGACCATGTGATATTTCAGTTTTTCTTTTTTAATAAATCTGCAAAAATGTCAACAATTCTGTGTTTTTCTGTCAATATGGGGTGCTGTGTGTACATTAATGAGGAAAAAAATTAACTTCAATGATTTTAGCAAATGGCTGCAATATAACAAAGAGTGAAAAATTTAAGGGGGTCTGAATACTTTCCGTACCCACTGTATATATATATAAATAACATTTCTGTCCCCCTCACTTCTGAAATGATGGCTACGCCCCTGGTATACTGTAAGTGGTCAGCTCACCCGAAACTTAAACAGGCAACAAGTACTTCAGAAGTGTGTTTGTGAGAAACTGCATTTGTCTTTTCATATTAGGTGAAGGACATGTAACCCTCCTGGGTTAACAGCAGTTCTCTCAGTAAACATTCCCAGACACTCTTGAGATGTTTGGTAAATAAATGCAAGTCTTTATTGTCTGAGGTTTCAATTACTCTGGGTCATTTCAAGTAAAGACTGTATAGTTTCTCGTAATGATCCCATAGGGGCCAAACTGATGGTAAACATAATGTCTCAGCTGTGTTGAATATTTACAATAAACATTATACCTGTTTGCTCCTCATAAATGGCTGAGATTGTTTGATTTGATTTACAGTGCATTTGGCCCCTGAATTGATCATTTAAAGTTGATACTGAAACAAACCGCTAAGAGCCTCTAATTACTCTAATAAAATCTATTGTTGTTATTGTTAACTACTATTAAAACTTGTTTTCGGTAATTGGAAAAAGTGCAAATAATATAAATAAGTTTAAATTTGCCATGGTAACTAACTGAAATAAGTTTAACTAATTACTACTCAAATAAAAATAAAGCTATATAGATATATTTAAAGGAACAAAAACTCATAAAAAATTACAAAAGCACACAAAAATACAAAAAATGTTACAAACCTAAAAATGAAAGCTTCAAATTAATACTTTAATAGATAATAAAATAGTATATAACTAGATTGATAACTTTACGAAAAAGCCTAGCTAGAAAGTTTGAAAAAGTTTGAAAAGCTTGCAGTCTGAGAGTTTTCAGTTTGAAGTAGATTGAAAGTTAAAATGTTAAAAATGTTTTCAAGGCAATACAGTCTATCAAAAAAGCCTAGCTAGAAAGTTTGAAAAAGTTTGAAAAGCTTGCAGTCTGAGAGTTTTCAGTTTGAAGTAGATTGAAAGTTAAAATGTTAAAAATGTTTTCAAGGCAATACAGTCTATCAAAAAAACAGGTAGATGTTTAAAATATAAGGTATAAAACATATTGCTAAGCTACCCGGGGTGGTTGCTAGGCTGTTTTTAGCATGATTAGCATGTTGCTAGCACAATTAGCATGTTACTAGCGTGTTGTTAACATTATTAGCAAGTTACTAACATGTTGCTAACATGATTATAGCATGATTAGCATGTTACTATCATGTGTTAACATGTTGCTAACATAATTAGCAAGTTACTAGCATGTTTCTAACATGATTAACATGTTACTAGCGTGTTGTTAACATTATTAGCAAGTTACTAACATGTTGCTAACATGATTATAGCATGATTAGCATGTTACTAGCATGGTGTTATCATTTTGTTAGCATGGTTAGTAACATGTTAATCATGCTAGAAACATGCTAGTAACTTGCTAATCATGTTAGCATGTTACTAGCATGGTGTTATCATTTTGTTAGCATGATTAGTGAGTAACTAGCATGTTTCTAGCATGATTAGTATGTTACTAGCATGTTGTTAGCATGATCAGCAAGGTACTAGCATGTTAACATTTTGTTAGCATTATTAGCAAGCCACTTGCATGTTGATAACATGATTAGCATGTTATTAGCATGATTCTATCATGATTAACATGTTACTAGCCTGATGATAGCATGTTTCTAACATGTTTAATAAAATTGGTAGCATTTTGTTAGCATTTTTAGCAAATTGCTAGCATGGTCCTAGCATGACTAGCATGGTGTTAACATTTTTTTAACATAATTAGCAAGTTTACTAGCATGTTGCTAGCATGATTCTAGCATGATTAACATATTACTAGCATGATTGTAACATGTTTCTAACATGTTTAACAAGTTGCTAACATTTTTAGCAAATTGCTAGTATGTTTCTAGCATGACTAGCATGCTACTAGCATGGTGTTAGCATTTTGTTAGCATGATTAGCATGTTATTAGCATGATTCTATCATGATTTACATGTTACTAGCCTGATGATAGCATGTTTCTAACATGTTTAATAAAATTGGTAGCATTTTGTTAGCATTTTTAGCAAATTGCTAGCATGGTCCTAAAATGACTAGCATGTTACTAGCATGGTGTTAACATTTTTTTAACATAATTAGCAAGTTTACTAGCATGTTGCTAGCATGATTCTAGCATGATTAACATATTACTAGCATGTTACTAGCATGTTTCTAGCATGTTTAGCAAGGTGCTAATATGCTTCTAACATGACTAGCAAGTTACTAGCATTTTGTAATCATTTTTCTAGCATGATTAGCAAGTTACTAGCATGTTTCTAGCATGATTAGCAAGTTACTAGCATTTGTTAGTATGTTTCTAGCATTATTAGCATGTTGCTAGCATGATTAGCATGATGCTAGCATGTTTCTAGCATGGTGTTAGCCTTTTTAAAACATGATTAGCATGATGCTAGCATGTTTAGCAAAATTGCTAGCATGTTTCTAGCATTATTAACACGTTACTAGCATGGTGTTAGCCTTTTTTTTAAACGTGATTAGCAAGTTACTAGCATGTTTCTAGCATGATTAGCAAGTTACTAGCATTTGTTAGTATGTTTCTAGCAT